GCTGTGGCCTGGCCTGGTCCTGCCTGTGACAGATGATGGCATTCCATCCAATGATTGCATCCCAGTGATGCTGGCTGGTGGTGGGGTCTGCTGCTCAGGGACTTCCTGGGCGATGCTGGCTACGTGTGTAGCAGGAGGGGCCGGGGCAGGGAAGCCTCCGCCCTGAGAGAAAGCGGTGGGGGCTGGGTGGCTCATGGGCCTGGGTTCGCATCAGGTCTGTGATTTCCACCTGGAAGGCTCACCAGCATTTGATGCCAGGAAATTCTCACTGAGTTGAGGGCTGAGTTCCCTCCCTGAGCCTGGCCTGAGTAGACCCCCGGAGTGGGGTCCCCTAGCTTGAGGCGGGACCTGGGCTCCGTGCGGGAAGCACTTTCCTCTCAGGCAAGATTTGGATAACAAGAGGTTCGCAGTTCCAAGTTCTTAAGGTCGCACGCTTACGTGTGTAGGGACCCAAAAGAGCCTGGTGACGCAGCCTGCTTCCCCGGAGTTTGTGGAACATTCCAGAGCCTGAGACACTGGAGCACGGCTGTGTTTACAGAGTGGCACTGACCTTTCAGAAGTAGTCCCACGTTGCCTTGGGTCCCCTGGCCAGGGCGGAAAGACAGGGCAGTGCCAATATGGCTCTTTCTGGGCCGTCTGTGGCCCTGTGGGAGGCCCTGGCACAGAGCTCAAGGGGTCCTGGAGACCATCGAGGGAGACAGGGAAGCCCGGGTGGGGGTGCCAAGTGCACACAGCCAGCCAGAGGCAGAGCCAGGCCTGGGACACCGGGCCTAGTCTGTACCCTGCTGTGTGACTGTGCACCCTGGCAGACATGCGGGAGCCCCGGCCAGTGCAGAGAAGCCTTTGCGCTGGCCCCCTGAGAGTGGGCCTGCGGGGACCCAGCCTCCCTGGCCCGTCCCGCAAGCCTGGCTGCTCCGCCAGCCCCCCTGCCGCCGCTCCTGCCCTCCAGAAGGCTCAGGACAGCCCCAGAAGGGATGGCACTCCACCCCGCTTGACAGTCGAGGAAACTGCAATAGACAGAGGTTCCGTCCCTGGGGGGAGCTTATACAGCTTGGCGGCCGCCGTAGGCTTCGGGGACCTGAGAATTTGACAGGACTCTGATGAGCGCCTCCCGGAGGCCGGACCAGAGTCACGCCTGGTGGGTCAGTGCCCGCCCGCCCCTCCCTTTCCGTGTGGGGAGACAGGCCTCCAGCGGCGCTTCCAACCGCATCTGCTGCAGGTGAGGAGGCCGGTGTGGCAGTGGCCCAGCTCTGGCTTTGCGACGGGTGTCACAGGCTGGAGCACCCATGCCCCGATGCGCTCCTGCTGCTCCCCAGGCCCATCTTCACGGGAGCCCCAGGAAGGTTTTGTGAAGGTGCCGGTCTTTGAGCCAGGGCTTGGACACCGCTCGCATCTGAAGCAGAAACAATCGTTCTCAAAAGTGCTGCGTGCAGCATAAATTCTATGGTCAACGCTGGCTGGAAACTGCAAACAGCCACCTGGCTGCAGGCCTCGTCAGAGCCTTTATGATGCACATGTGCACAGCTGAGATTCCTGAGAGGGCTTTCATAGGAACTATTACCCAAACTCCAGACTTGTCTGGCAACTCCTTGTCCTTGCTAGGAAGTCCCGGGTCTGCCATGTCACGGGGTGCACGTTTGGAAACGCTGACTTATCTGCCTGGAGTTGTGGAGGGAAGTTCATTCCGGGAAGATGGAACAGTATGTGTAAAGACAGAGAGTGGGGCCGACAGCTGTGCCTCACATGCCCCCGCCGCCCCCAGCCCACATGCCCCTGGGGTCCAGGCTCAGCCGCATCTCAGAGGCGAGGACGGCCCTTCCCCACGGTCTGCCGGGGAGGCTGTGCTTGGCCGATGCAGTAGCCGGCTCCACAGAGGAAAGCCTGATGGAGAGAGCTTGCCGGTTCCCCGGTGTGACTGCTCCCTCGGTGGCTGACCTCACACGGCCCCTAGCGCGGACTCGCGGAGAGGTGCGGCGTGTCCGCCACGTGGAATCTCCACTCTTGGCACGAGAGGTGCCCGCGACCGAATCGGGAATCGCGGAGGCCCGCGTGCTGCCACGGCAAGCGCCATGCGCGTGAGGACGAGCGTCTGCAGCTTGACTTCTGAGGATGGCTGTGCGGCACAGCTGGCAGGCAGCGCTCTTGGGGGCCGCCCCCGCAGGCGCGTCCCCGGAGGCGCGCTCATGACAGGCCCTTGCTTCTGCCCCGTCTCCCCAGGCAAACGAGGGAGCAGGAGACGCCCCCTGACTTCTTTTACTTCTCCGACTACGAGCGGCACAACGCGGAGATCGCGGCCTTCCACCTGGACAGGTGAGCCTCCCCCCTGCCCTCGGGGGGCCCGGCGCCGGGGAGGGCAGCGGCCC